TCTCCTTCTATCCCAGAAAAAGAATAAAAACAACATTTTAAAATAGAAATTGAAAATAAGAATGAAGTATCCTCCCACACCCTATGCACATCACAAGCAAACTACCTTCGAAAAGATTCCCTAGAAATTGAAAATAAGAATGAAGTATCCTCCCACACCCTATGCACATCACAAGCAAACTACCTTCGAAAAGATTCCCAATACGGTACTAAGTATTATAAATATTATACTACTTTTTAGAACACCAAACAATTAATTCTTTCAAAGCTGACGTTTTTCAAGTTTCAAAAGGCAGTATACATCTTATACATGGGGTGCCCAAAATCAAGTTTTCCAAAAGGCACGAATAGGTTAACTATTATAAAAATCTATTGTCACTCCGAAAACCATTCAAAATCACGAGCCTTTTTGTTTTACGACTTAAATTAGAACACGGTCACTTCAAAAATCAATTGGTTCCATCTTGCAGAAGGCATACCTCGAAATTCTGGACACACTCATCTCAGCAACCAGCAGGAAGTTTTCGTCCTCAGATAGACTCAGTCCGTTCGGCAAATACAGGCCATCTTGAACAATTCTCACTTCTTTCGATTGCGGTGACAGTGCCAGCACTCGGCCCAGCTTATTTGTTTCAATAACCTTCAAGTAGAAAAAGGCGAAAAAAGAAACAACTTTGAAGTAACATAACTTTTGTTAAAAGCTAAAAGACAAAATACCGACTTTAAGCCGTTTCAAAAGCATTACCGTGTAATACGTGACTGAGTGTAAACGTCAGATGATAAGAAGTACATCTGATCCACTATCTAAACTCTATCCAAGCCTAGGGTTGAGATCTGAAAAGCTGCAAATAGTTTGACTTCTTTGTAAAATTAATTTTTTAAAGTAACTTGTTATGGCGGTCGTACCACTCTCAGTTTTGGTAAAAAAAAAATTCGGGTATGCCTAGTTGAAACAACTAACATAATTGTGTCTATAAGAGAGGTGTGCAATTTTACAAATATCTTTGTATGGACATTAGTGGGTAGGCTACCGGACTCGCAATCATGAGATTAGTTCAGGGGTTCGAGCCTCAGCCTGGTCCGACGTTGTGTCCTTGGGAAAGGCCCTTTACATGAATTTCTCACTTGGCTCCGTCCTTTCGGGGATGGACGTTAAACTTCGAGGTCCCGCCTCTTAAATAACCTAATAGTGCTGATAGGGGCGTTAAACCTATACCATTTTTTTGAGCAGACAAAACTTTACCCAAACCTAGTTGTGATCTAAGAAGCTGCAAGCAAACTGAATTTTAAAAAAAATTAACAGAACATTTGGCCTGCTTGCCACACACTCACCTCGTATCTGTAGTCTCTACGTTCCCATTTTGTGCTGGAGTCAGAGAAGTAGATGGTTCCATCCGATGCAATATCAAGAGCATTCAGAAACAGAAATCGAGATCCGTTGAATCCTGTCCAGATGAAATTATAAGAAATAATACACCAATATGTGAAAGGCTTATGTCACAGCAAGTGGCGAGAAACCCAACAAAATCTTTGTGCAGTTGTCCATCCCCGTGGTGAAATTTAGTTTACTATGGCGTGTACTATTTATATAAAAGTAGCTTTTTGGGGGGCCCTCATGTGTGTGTGTGTTGTGTGTGTGCGTGTGTGTGTGTGTGTGTGTGTGTGTGTGTGTGTGTGTGCGTGAATGTGTGTGCGTGAGTGTGTGTGTGTGTGTGTGTGTGTGTGTGTGTGTAAAGAGGTCTGTCCCGGAAATAAGTTTCCCTGTTCTTTAAAATCAATTATTTTTATTTTAAAGACATGAAATTTTGTAATTTATATATCTACCTAAACTTTTTTTCCTATTCAATAACAACTGTTGATCTTAGTGCACTTTTCATCCAATGTGATCAGAGATCAAACGCGGTGACCATGTCTGCTTTGGCCAGAGTCCTTAGCGCAGCATTTATTGTGCCGAGCACAATTTCTCACTGGTCTTCAACTCGCTGCTACCTTGGTCTTTCTTTGATTTTGGGGAAGATCTGAAAGTCAAACTCAATTGTTGTCTTTGGTATGACTCTGGTTCACATCCCAGACTGGGCATTCTTGAGCTCGGGCTTTTTTACAATGTTTTCAAGGCTCTCAACCTATTTGGCTGGGTCCTGTTGGAGACGGACGTCAAATTCAGAGGTCTAATAAGTTATAACCTAATAGTGTTGATAGAGGCGTTAAGCTTATAATCTTTTTACTTACTGTCCACCAAAACTTCTGTTTCGCCGCTGTCAACATCAATGCGCAATATCCCATTGTAGGCATCAGCTACGACCAGTCTTCCAGAGCTGTCCACTTTCATTCCTTTGGGCCGTCCACATTCTGGTTCTAGTTCGTAAGACCCTATCACATAGACAAAAAATCATGCCGTAAATATTTTTAGCTTTAGTACGAGTTTTATGGCACTTGCAGCGGACACAATCAGGTCATATTAGTAGTGCTGAAGAATAGAGGTGTTACTAGAATGTAACATACAAACAAAAGCAGGGGGAGAGCGACAGATGTTTGATAGGAAAGAAGGATAGAATGTGATCATTGCATATTGAACTAACGACGATATAAAGTGTGTGTGTTTGTGTGTGTGTTTGTGTGTGTGTGTGTGTGTGTGTGTGTGTGTGTG